TAAACACTAAGTTTTTAATATAGATTTATTTTAACCATATAATAATAAAGTTTTTAAAAATTGACAGAAAAAATTTGATTTCTATATATTTAGTTACTAACCACAGTATTGTTTTTCAACAGTACTTTAACACAGAAGCATGAAATTTTACATAAAAACTGTGGAGAGCCAGTAATGGACATGGGTGTCCATAAATGGTTTGGACCTTATTTTTGACCTAATGATGACACGCCCTACCACAAAAGTCGTTAAAAATTATATGAGGAAGTACAATGCAATAATCAAATTGCTGAGGCTCTGAAATGGTCAAATGGTAATAATCCTAAAATTTAAAGTGCTATCTACTATACACCTAAATGTAGAACTCTCTTCAATATGGTTAGTCTGGAGCTGTAAAACACACGGATAAGTTTAGAAACAAGTGATATTTTTCTTAAACTTACTTTTGGAGATTTCTTTCTTATAGTTGTCAACAGAGAGCGTTGCTCTTCGTCCTGGAAAAGGACCGGAAACTGTAAACCAATCAGAAGGCTTAATATTTACATTTAAATGCCAAACTGTCCATAACTGGTGCGCTTACCCTAATGTCGTTTCGAGATCTATAAATAAAGCAAAATACATTATTAAGAAAGAATAATGCATGATTTACTATTTCCTTTAAATTACAAGCATTACTGTGATTTAGTCGTGTCAACACAAGTTTTAAATGTTGGTAAATTCTCACAATAATATTTGTAATTTAAGTAACTTAAAAAATCATGCATCATTATTTCTTTATGTGTTTTTCTTTATTTATAGGTAATTTTATCATGAGCCAACGGAGCTCAAAACGTAAGAATAAATGGATAATGTAAAAGGATGATTATGATATAAATTGACTTCTTTTGTTAGTGAATCTCTCCCAATTTAATGATAGTTAGTTACTTTATTTTTCTTCATAAGTAATTATCGTTATATTTTTTTTTTTTTAAATCTTTCGGGCTGAAGCCTCCCTCTCCCAAAACTAAATCCTGGATCCGCTAGTGAGACCTACAACATAGGATGAAAAAGGGCCAATAAAAAAAAAAGTCTTACTTATCATATGAGTGAATTTTTGTAACATACTCCCAAGCACCTCCTTAAATTAGATCAGTGGTTAAAAAAATCCATACCATTAATATTTATTTTTTATATTTTCTTAAGCCTACTAGTATTGGTTGTCCCATAAGTTCTTTCCCTTTTCTTTATTTGTTGTTTAAGGTTGATTCACTGTGTTATTTATGAACCGTTCTGGCCTTCTTCCATCTTTTAGAAAGCCTCTTATACCCTTTTTTTCAAAATTGTTGAGACTTACTTGCAAAATATTCATCTTCGCTTTCGGATTTTTACATTTGTTTCAGAGAGAATTTTTCAATGCAAGAAACAAGTAATAATCGGATGAGGCAAGGGCTGGGGAGTGCGGAGGATGAAATATAAAATCTCAATCAAACTCTCAGAGTTTCTATCTTACGGCCAACGCAACATATGGAATTAGCCTTGAGACAGAAACTCTTAGTTTGCTAAGGATTTTCTACCGTACTTCCTAGCCCTTGCCTCATCTGATTATCACTTGTTTCTTTCGTTGAACATTGTCTCTCAAATAAATGTCAAAAATCCGAAAGTGAAATAAATACACATCTCGATGAATATTTTTCAACTGTCTCAAAAATTTGAAAAAAAGGTATACGAGGCTTCCTGGGGGATGTAAGAAGGTAAAAATTAAAGGATTCCCTCTCTTCCTTATTCAAACTAGAGTGTAATCCTAAGTTTTCATTTTTCTTAAGTCTCCTAAGAGTTCATTTTGCTAACTAAATGAATTGGTTAACAGATGTTTATATGACAGAAGAATAACATTGATTCCAAATATAACTGATACTTTTCCTGTTAAGAAATAACTGGTGGGTCTAATTGGCAAAAGATTCCTTTTACACAGCACTTTAAAGTATGTAGTACAAATACAAGGAAATATTCTATAAGTCCACTTTCTTCACTCATGAATCAGCATCAGACCCAAACTAATTAAATGTCATATTTTAAATATACACCACACTGACTTTACTTTCTAAGCATCAGATTTTGTTAAATCAAAAAAAAAAAAAAATTAAGCTATATTTATATTTATTACAAAAAATCCATATAAACATTCATAAGACATTGGCAGTTATGGAACGGATTTGATTGATGACATTAAATGCAATCGTTAATTCCTTTAAAATGAAACATCACAGTCTACGATACATGTCTCACGTATTTAAAAAAAAAAATCATTATAGAATAGTAAATAAACAATACATACATAAAAAGGTTACATTTTCCATAATTACACTAATTAATATCAGTAACAGTGAGCATGGCACTGAACACATGGGCAAGCTTAAAACTTTAAAACATATAATACATGAACGTTTGATGTTTTTTTCTCTCTTTTAGATTTTTATTACATTACAACAGTTACTAACATTAAAAACAAATATTCTTTAAAAATGAATTAATAAAACATTATTATTCATCACAGGGGTGATAAAAAGTTGACTTAAAGGTTGGTATTTAACTGCTTTACCACCAGAGAACTCTACTAGTCGTTAGTTACTATAGAAACAGTTATCTCATTTATTGTTATTTTTTCCAGACTATAATACTCAAGTTCACTGACAGATAATTCTAGCTCATGATCTGCAATAATTTTTAAAAGAAAACAAAAATAACAAAATTTCATTACTAGTTTTACTAGTAGATCATACTAATTTTACAATGTAATCTTACAGTTAAGCTATTAAGTTTTCTTCTGTTTTTACCTGAATGTTAATGTTAAACTAAAAAACTAGTTACTAAGTTAATTTATTCCTAATGTAGAACAGCCAATATGGTTGAATCCTATTTAAACAGTTCAGAGAGGTGACTAGTTTCAGCATTTACCTTATTATTACAAACTAAAAGACCAATAGCATACAAAAGACATTATTTTTTTTTTTTATAAAAGTTAATGTTGATCTGTAAATTTTGAAAATTAATATGGTAATAAACACAACAACTTATTTTCGTAAGACATTAAAAAAAAAAAAAAAAAAAAAAACATGAGAGAATATGTATGAAGTTATTCAATATCCTTAATAGCACTTGTAATTTTCATTTAATTTATAAAAGTGCTAAGTTCGTTGAAAAAATAAAAATAAATAACAATAATAGACATTGATATTAAAATTACAAAACTAAAAAATATATATACAATGTAATTTAAAAAACATGAAAAACTGAATATTATGTCATTAGTCACAAAAAGCTTTTTGAATACTATTAAAACCTGAATGACAGTTTTAATACACGAATTAAACTACGTATGTAAAGATCTTTTCATGTAAAATTATGATAAATGACATGATTTAATAAATTTAGCTACATCATAATCAATATACATATGAATCATAGAGTAATTTTTGTACTGTATTTTAATTTTAACCTACTATACAATATAAAATAATATATTTGGAGAGAAGTTGGTTGGCATGTTCAGTAAATGAAAGAACAATGTAAAAATAAATAATTTATTCTTGAAGGAAGTTAGTCGACTGTTCTACATATCATGGGTGATAAATATTCAGGACGCAGTCTTTTTTAAATTTTTGCCAACGTTTCAACCCAAACATGTGGGTCATCTTCAGGGCTGAAAATGTTTTTTAAAATACAATCAGAGATATAATAGTATACAACCGCTAATTATAAGTAATAAACTATAGTGATTGATGGTACATGAATCTTAACTAATATTGCAATACACATATTAAAATTAAATATGTAAATAGTTATACAAACTAAAAATTAAAAAAAAACAACTAAAAATTATAATTAGCGGTCATATACTATTATATCTCTGATTGTATTTTAAAAAACATTTTCAGCCCTGAAGATGGCCCACATGTTTGGGTTGAAACGTTGGCAAAAATTTAAAAAAGACTGCGTCCTGAATATTTATCACCCATAAATAATTTGTTTATTTTTGATCTTTGTGCCGATGTTTCAGACCATCATCAGGATGAATCGTCCAATTGATGATTCCTCCAACACATTTTGAACGAACAGTCCTGATAATAGCCAGAAACTTAAACCAAAACGTCGGCACTAAGGACAAAAATAAATATAATTTATTTTTTACTTTCTTCTTTGGTTGACTGAACACCCAAAAAAAAAAATCTCTGCAAATATCTTCAACAGTCAGCTATTATCCACTACCATAAAATAAAATAGTTTTCTTACACTTCGAAATAACTGGCAATAAATCAGTGCTCACTATTACCACAATGTATAAGGAGAGTTCAATTGTAATAAGTTGAATTAATACTTAGTTGATGTTTGTATCATTAATGTGTAATCAACTTATAAAATTTTAAAGAACTCCTATGAAGTTCTAGCAAAAGATATATATGCATAAGATAATGTAAGCGTAGATGGCTATATCCCCTGTAATATACCAATATTGACAAAACTAAAATATAAGTGGAATGATTCAGTCTAATTATTGATTAATATCACATCTCTAAATGCTCAGGAGGAGAAATTTTGGTCATTATCATAAAGAGAAAATAATAAAAAATGTATATATATACAAAAAATAGAAAGACTAGTAAATTAAAATTAAATTACACCTAATAAATAAAACACAATGGTACAAATTAAGATAGTACACATTCCATTAAATAATTAAAAAGAAACTTAATTAGAAAATTAAAAAACTAGCTTGATGCCTAAAAAGAATATCTTACAATATTTATAAAAATGGAAACTATATCAAATTCTTATACAGTAAAAAAATAAATATTCACGTACTTCAACTCTCGTAATTCAGGTCTTCGAATAATGAACAAAGATTAGATAATAACAAGTTTTAAATTAAAAACTTTTAACAAATTATCAAACATAACAATATCTTTTAACATCTTTCGACTAAAATATTTTTTTTTTATAGAGCACAAATTATTATGGCAGTTTTAGGAAGGCAAATTTACTGATTTGGTAATACTTTTGGTTTCAGGTGTTGAGTTACTAGCCTGTTCACACGTTGGCTGACGAGTTGAGACTTTGAAGAAACGAAGAATACTTCCTTTAGCACTATTCTTCTGACTAGACTTTCTGCGAGCTGGGCTGCTACTTTCTTGAGATTTTTTGCTGGTATCGGCAGCTTTCTGTTTCAATTTTTCCAACCAATTAGCATCCTTGACTTTGGGAGAAGATCTGCAGTGGTGTACATGCGGAGAAACACCATCCACAACATAATTAGGGAGATCAGCTGTAAGGCTTGACAAGTCTGAAAGCAAATATTTAAGATATAATATAATAGATTTTTTTTCTTCAAGAAAAATTAAAGAAGTAATTAAGTTACATAAGTATTTCTTATCCCATTGGATAAGATAAATTATTATAGAATACATAATAGTCAAACAATACATCTTGTATATCACATTGTTACTAATAAAAGGTGTGTTACCTCATTACAATTAGCGACGAGAATAACAGTTTGACAATGGCATCTTTAGCTTCAGATATTACTGCCCAGAAAAATGAACATCTCAGTGATCCGTCCAACTGTTGGAGGTGTGGCAAACGTCATTGGCGCAATAGTTGCCTTTATAAATATGCTACTTGCAAAAAGTGTCACAAAGATGGGTACATTCCTACAGTTTACCTAGGTGCTTATGTATTGACCCGGGAGTATAAAACTCACCAAACACAAGAAGGTGAACTGACAGAGGGACAAAATAGCATCGAAAATTGTAGATGTGATGCTATAAACAGAATCTTAGAAGAGCCACGAAACCCGCCAGCTTTCATTGCTCCAGTCACTATTAATGGGATGGAGATTGATATGGAGATAGACACTGGTGCGTCTTGTTCTATGATCAGTAATAAAATGTTTTGTGAAATGTTTCCAAATAAGGAACTTCTGCCATCCAGGCAGCTTTTTGCCACCATAACAAGGTCTATATTTAGCTGCATGGGTTATCTCCCAGTCCATGTCTCATTCAGAGGTCGTACTTGCATTCTTAATTTATATGTGACACTGATGGAGACAAGTAACAGCATTTTTGGCCGTGAGTGGATTCATAGTTTTGCTGACTTAATAACATTTCAAGAATTTGTTTTACCTTCAACTCTTCGAGTTTCTTCATTCGTCAATTTACATATGAAAACACTCCTGGATGTGCTTCTGCTAAAATACAGCGACTTATTCAGTAATACAGCTGGTACCCTGGTTGGTCCACCAGTTGATATTATGTTGGGAGATCATCTCCAGCCAATCTTTTCTAGTGCAAGACAAATTTCCAATGTACTTAGAGATGTTTACATTGACGAGATCGATGAGAAAATCAAAGCTGGTATCTTCCGCCAAGTTCAAACCTCTAAATGGGCCTCTCCTGTACATATCATGATCAAAGACTTTAAGGTGAGGATAATAGGAGACTACAAGACTACACTCAATAAACAACTAGCCGTTGATGAATATCGCAGTCCCTGTATTGAAGACATGTTCCAAAAATTAAAGGGGGCTACCAAATTCTCAAAACTAGCTATCAAAAATTCTTACAAGAGTCTACCTTGCAGTGAAAAATTCTGTGAAGTCATGACTCTGAATACACCAACTCATGGACTGATCAGACCAACGCGCGCACAATATGGCGTTGCCGGTATTCCAGCTATATGGCAACGACGTATCAATGAAGTTTTAAATCACCTTGACTGTGCCTGCAATTTTAGTAATGCAATAATTGTTTACTCAACATCTGATGAGGGAATGATTCAGGCACTCGAAGCAACATTTAGAGCACTTGAGAAATCTGGTTTAAAACTCAACAAATCCAAGTGTGTATTCCATCGTGATAAATTAGAATTATTAGGACACAGTATAGATGCAGACGGATTGCACAGTCGGAAAGACCACATTGAAGCTATTTTAAATGCACCTCTGCCTTCCAACCCTAAAAAAATGAAAACTTTTTTAAGCACAGTTGCCTACTATCATGCTTTTATCCCAAATTTATCGACCATCACTGCACCACTCAAGAAGATGCTCACCTCTTCGAAATTCAAGTGGACACAAAATGCCAAAAATTCGTATAATCGTCTGAAAAGAGAGCTTACTTCCAATAGAGTAGTTACACGCTATGACCCGACACTTCCACTAATCTTAGCTACAGACGCTAGCCCACTAGGTGTAGCAGCAGTATTGTCTCATACTATGCCTAATGGCTCAGAGCGCCCAATCGCTTATGCTAATACAGCTTTTAATACCATAGAAAAAAGCTATACACAAGTAGAACGTAATGGATTCGCTATTGCATGGGGTGTAAAAAGATTCTACCATTATCTTTATGCCCGTAAATTCACTATATACACACATCATAAAGAAATTAATTCCTTATTGAGTCAAAATACCGAATTACCTCAGTTCACACTTACCCATTGCAACAATCACGCATGCTACCTTGCTAATTTCAATTACGAAATGAAGTACAGATCCAGTAAAGAAAAGTGTAATGCTTGCTTCCTTTCTAGAAGTGTGAGATCTAACAATGAAAAGTTTTTTAAAGCCAGTCAAAATCGATTACGATTAGAGGATCCTTACGATTATTTCAACAGATTTGTGCAGCATTAGCTTCACCAAATTCTCTTTACTTTTAAGGAGATTTCTGAAGAAACTCCATGATCCACACATGTCAGCATTACTGTCTGCAGAAATTGAAAGAAAAAAATATGAAGTCTCTTGGCTGCAAGGGAAGGGAAGCTGAATATATGGCCTCTGACGGATAACTCGTGCTTGGCTACAGAATTTTTATTACACTAAGGCTTGTCAAATATTCTTAGAACTCGACATTGCTCATATATGAGTAGTTAAAATGAAAAGTTTGTCTTGTTCTCTCATTTATTGATTGAAAATCTATGAATCAAGCCGTTAAAATATGGCTAATTCATGTTCTGGTTGCCTAAAGAATCCCGAAATCACTCCTCAGTTTTGTTCACATCACTGAGAATACACAAATGCTCTATGGGATGGATGAATGGATGGCTCGAAAAGGATGACTGTTGCTATCACAAACCCAACTACTTCTCAAGCCACAGCCGATGTCCTTAAAAGGGAATTCGCTGGATTCAGTATTCCAGGAGTAGTCGTTTCTGACAATGGGCCATAATTCTGTTCAGAATACTTCCAGGATTTTTTAAAGAAACAACTTATCCGGTTTCATCTTAACGATTAATCTCTTCTTTAACAAATCCTCGCTCCAAACTACTGGACAATTACCATCCCTCCTGCTTCTAGGAAGAATAGAATTATGAAGATGCATTATAGCTGCAGAAGGGATTGCACTGTAAGAAAAAGCACATCAAAGCTGTTTTAAACTGCAACTCGGCCTTCTAACCCTAAAAAAATTCAAACTTTGACATTCTTCCAATATTTTTATGTCCTTAAGTTGACAACATACACACATAATAAAATGATTTCTTTCTTTTTCAGTCAAAATGTAGAATTGCCTCAGTTCACACTTACCCATTGCAACAATTACGAATGCTACCTTGCTAATTTCAATTACCGAATTAAGAAAAAATCTAGTAAAACGCTAACTTCCTTTTTACAACTGGAAGATTCAACAATGAGAAGTCTTTTGAAGCCACAACATTGTCTAGAGGATCCTATAGATGACTTAAAAAAATTTTTGCAGCATTAGCTTTACCAAATTTCCCTTACTTCTAAGGAGATTGCTAAAGAAACTCTTTATGACCCACAAATGTCAGCATTACTGTCTGCAGAAATCGGAAGGAAAAAATCTGAAGTCTCTTGGGAAGGAAATCTAAATACACATACCGCCTCAGATGGATGTCTCGTGCTTGGCTACAGAATTGTTATTATGATAATGCTTGTCGACCTTGCTCATAGAGGAGTAGTTAAAAATAAAGGTTTGGCTCATTCTTACAGCAATACAACTGACAAATGGCTACCAGTTGTAATTGTCACCAAACCTGGAGACCTGCATTATGAAATAGAATTCAATGGAAATCGTTTCAAGAGGAATATTATTACCATTATTATTATTATTATCAATTGATGTATTCATTATAATCAATAAATTATTCAGTTTATATATTCCTTAAGTAATGTGCGTTTCATTGAATTATTACATTACAATTGGTTTGAACTACATTGCACAAATTATTTTTTCTTCATCAACCTCAATATTCTTTGTTATATGTAGCTGTCCTTGTCCTGTTCTTTTATGTTATTAACACTGTCATCACCACCTATGCCGATGATACAAGTCCTATCAGTTAATAATTGACTTTAATTGCATCCCAAATCCTCCAGTCACTTATCAGAATCCTTGAAGAATGGTGTCAAAACTGGAGAATAAAAATAAATTTCATAAAATCCCATCATATTATCCTTATCCTCTGTGGTAAACAAACGACTTCTTGTCCTACAGTATCCAACAATATTCCGCTAGTCCCTGTTGAACAAATCAACTAAATAGGATTCCAATTGGACAAATGTCTTACTTGGAATCCGCAAGAAACTGCTAGACGTTTCCAGCTGCTCTAACACTTACTAGACAAATGTTCTAAACTTTTAATTAATTACAAAAGGTTCATTTACATGACTATAATAAGACCTATGTGGACATACCTATGGAGCTTTGGAGCCAAACCATTGAATTCCTGTTGTATCCGATCCTTACAATCCAAAATCCTTAATGCCATATTTTGTGAAAAATAAAACCATTCATAAAGACCTTAAGGTTCCATATCTCACTGATTTTTCTAGAGTCAGATATATATATATAAAAAAAATATATCCTTTCATGATAAACTTCAATCCCATCGGAATCCACTTGTTTCCACCCTTGTTTCTTCCTCAATTCCAGATAATCTTCCTAGGCATCTGAAATGAAGATGGCCTCGTGATCTTCTTACATAGAACAATTTCAGGAGTAGTACTATAGGGTAGTATTACCATTTCTGTTCCTGGTCATTATTCCTGATGAGTTAATATTTACTAATTGTATTTATTTAATACGGAGAGTGGGGTAGCTCAGTGGGTGAGTACTGATTTCCAGAGCTTAAGGTCCCAGGTTTGAATCAGGCAAGTATGATGACTAGTACTTTTTCATCAGCCGCGAGTCGACCCTAGGGCCGGGAGACCCTCCTGTGACAAACCCAGCTTCTATAAAGTGGGTACTGTTAATTAAATAATTAATTAAGGGAGAAAACCTGGTGGTTGAGCGTGATATTGGCACTTCACCTCTCTGCACAAACCTTGGCCTTGCAACAATACTTCCTCACATTGTATGCATAACCCTTCATGGTTTGTTAGTGATACAGGGTTTTTTTGTTTTGTTTTTTTAAATTATTTAATACAGATGTAAATTTCAATAAATAAAATATTTATGAAACCCCTTTTTTTTTTATAATTTTGATATTATTTCTTTAACAAAAAGATAATGTACAAGTTGGGTACAAAATATCTTCCAAGATTAGGAGAGGTCTCTTCTACCTCCCTTAATTGGTACCACTTGGAACCAAGAAAGTGTTAATTATAATACCATAACATTACAATTTTAAACAATTAATAAATTAAAATAAAACATTTTAACAAACCTAAAGAATTGTTTAAACAAGGTTTCTTCTCTACTTGCTTTACTTCATCATTAACGAACCTCCTCATTTCCACATCATGTCTAGGGACTGAAAACATACATCAAAAACTAATTTTAATGAAAATGGATGATTAAAAACATTCTAATAATGTCAAATTTATAAGAAAATTCAGTAATTTATACTTAGAATTATGCCCAGCTGCAGTAAACTCTTAATTAACCGATCTCTATGGATTGATTATTGATGTAGCAGGATCAATAATGAATATTTAAATAAATAAATAATTATTTAAAATTTGCCCTCAAACCTAGATACCCTATACAAAACTTACTGATAAAGACAAATTTACTGAAATTTGCATCTGCGCTGCAGCGCATCTAGCAAATCTGATGCAAGAGCCATTTGTTGCGAGTTTGCTTGATTATTATTATTATTTTTTGTTTTTTTCTTCCTTATTGTTAATGCAGAAGTAAGTCCCTTGGTCATTTTCTTTTCAGTCTACGTCGATCAGGTAACAGGGAGCAGGAAATAGAAAGGATTAAGGGATTGGTGTGATTTAGAATTGAAGAATGAAATGAAATTCATTTGTTGTGAATGTAGGATTATACTGTTGGGATGTTTAAGTCGTTGTGTATAGTGTTATTCGAAATGTACCAAGGTGCGTTGACAATTTTTTGTAGAATTTTGTATTGTGTTATTTGTATTTTATTTAAGTGTGTTTGTTTGGGCGAACTGCAAAGTTCTGCTCCGTACGTCCAAATTGGCCTCAGTATAGTTTTGTAGATCAGTAGCTTGTTTCGTAAGTTAAGTGAGGATCTGTAGTCCAGAAGATGTAAGAGTTGGTTATATCGTCAAGTCAGTTCTTGTCTTTTTAATTTAGTATGTATGTTCCAGGTAAGTCTTTTGTCTAAGTAGAGTCCGAGGTACCGTACATAGTTTTTTGAAGGCACTGGGTTATTGTCGATGATTATGGGTGGACATGAGGCTTTTCTAGGAGAGAAAATCATGTGGGTGGATTTGCAACTGTTAATTTTAATTTTCCATCTTTCGAACCAGTTTTGAAGGGCAATTGATGCGATATTAGGATTTTTGTGGGGAGAAAGAATTGCAGTGTCGTCAGCGAAACAATATATGGTGGTGCTAGGGTGCTCAGTGATATCATATCAGACCTACTTAAAAACATAGAAATTTAATTTATAATATCTTTTGTAAAATTGTGAAAAATCATATATAGGAATGAGATCAACCGATATAAAAACACAAATATATAACCATACAATCATCCTAAAACCTAATTCAAAAACAACTACTGCCTTATCAAACCATTTAAAAAATAATAGGATTGAAATAGATTTTGACAATATTTAAATACTTCATAAATCTAACCCCCGATCAAAGCTCAAAACTTTAGAATCATATATATATAGCAATTAATAAAAAAAAATATCCTAAATTCATAACAGGAAGCAACCCATATACCACAACTCATATATAATAGTTAATCATAAAACTTTAAATAATAGCAAATAAAACAAGATGTTGAGTAACTTGTACCATATTGTTCCATAATATCGATGGTGCTGACAGTAACTGTTCGGCATTCAGTAATATGGTATCGGACAAAGAAGAGTCCTGTTCTCTGATAAGTCAGTAAATAAATTTTATTTTATTTAATTAATGACCAAATTTAAACTAAAATCAATTTAAATATAATATCAGACGAAAAAACGGACACTATTCCAATCTTTAATGTTTTTTAACTAGAAAAATAAGGGGAAAAATGATGGCATGGTATGATAATTAGAAAATATGTCATATACATGAATAGTTACTGTTATTGATTAATAATGTGTCACAATTATAGTGATGAATATGATACAGGGCACTGAAATCTTCTCTGAGTATAAGGTATGAACTAAAATAATATAAATTATAAAGGAGGCTGTCTACGGTTAAAATTCTGAAGTTCAAAGAATATTTCATTCTAAAGCCTGGAAGTTAAAAGATGTAATGCCACAACTGAATTATTTTGGAAGCCTTGAATTCAATAACACAATACAGCAATGTTTATTTACAGAACACCTAAAGTTAATTTTTAACTTTGCAAAAAAGACTTGAAGATTTTGTTTTAGCTATACAGTACGACCCCCATTTTCCAGGATCCATTAACTGGGGTTCCGAGCGACCAATTTTTCGTTTTGTTTAATACGGTGTTTTTTAAATTTTTACACCATTTATTTTATATGTATAATATTTATTTTATAATGAATATGTAAGATTTTTTAATTATTACATAATTAACAGCAAGTGAAATTGTATGAATCAGATGTTTCAGGTAACAACTTGTTCCATTCATATTCTAGGAACGGTAATGTTTTCAAGTTTTTCTTTGAAACTCCTACTGGCCTGATTGCCTACAAAACAAAATTATTTACTCAGTTATGGTTTAGTATCCATTTATATATGAACTAACAACATTTCCCAAAAAAGAAAATGTGTCATTTTAAAGCTTGAACAGAAATCAACCATTATAAACCGAGTAGAACAAAGTAAAAATGTTAAAAAAATTGTCAACTGAATTAGAAATTGGCAAGCAAACTGTTTGTGATATTTTGAAGAGGATAAAAAGCCTTTTCTGAACTTCTATCGTCAACGGCCTAAACATCCTGAAAACGGAAAGCCGTCTATCAATGGTTCAATCAGAGGAAAGAAAAGAAATGTTTAATAAAAAATAGACTAAATTTACTGATTTGTTATCCAAATGGTAATTCAATACCTATGTAAAATCATGCACAAATTCATTCTTATGTATTGTTGTATAAAATAATTTAGTATATATAAAACGTTTTCTTGTTAATTAAAGTAATTTTATGTACTTTTTTTTTTTTTATCAAGCTTATCTATCAATGTAGTAATTCAATTATCCGAGGTTTTCGACTACCCCTGAATCCCCATACCCATCATTACCCTGAATAATAGGAGTTCTACTATATACAGTATGTAAGAGTAATGGTATATTTCTTACCTAAGTCAATATGTCTACTGCAATAGAATTTCCTTTTTAATGAATTCCTCGAAGGGCATATTTCTCTAATCCTGTATCTCTCTGCCCATCCGCGTAGAGTAGGGTCGTGACAGTCAAATTCTTGAGGATAAACACGCCATATACGATATGTGGCATCGTCAGAACAGGTAACTATCTGTTTTCATTATGCAAAAGAAGTTTAAGTAACACTCATTATAGAATTATTTAAAAATTACTAAATATACCTTTTAAAATAATTGAAATTTCGCTAAATATTCATTTAACTATACAGGATGTCTCAGTTCTTGGCCAAACTCTGGGGGGAAGGAGGAGGGTGATTCCAGACCAAATTTCCAACTAACAGTTCATTTGATGCTTGAGAAGGAGTTAAGACCAATTCAGTGTCTTCCTCAAGGAGGTCACTTCTTTTATTGAATAAGAAGAAATTGTTCAAAAACTATTCAACATAATTAAATTCTAAACACACCATCATAAAGCAGACAATATTTTCTTTTAAGAACAGAGTTAAATTTAGTAAGGTCAATGATAAAAGGGACTTTAGGAGATCTAATACAGCTGTTGTTACAGTACCTATCCATGAGCAGCATATCTCTGCAATCCGTAAGGAATAGTACAGTAGTCGTATTAGGCCTCCTGTAAGTCCCTTTTATCAATGACTTTAGTAAATTCAAATATTGTTTTCTTAAAGAAAATTTGGTACTTTGTGTCTAGCGGGCCGCATTGAAACCTCACTTCTTATCTATCTTATCTACCGTCACCTCATATAACCTCCCTCTTCTTATCCCGCCAAACCTTTGAGTTATTGCATTGTTTAGTTTTCAGTTATTCCCTTATTACGTTCACTTATTAAATTCTTTACTTTTGGCCCGTTTGTGTTTATTTTTCATTATTTTTAATTTTTGGCCCGTTTGTGTTTATTTTACTTTTTTTTTTAAGTTTGTGGCCTCTTTGTGTTTATTTTTCATTTTTTCCCATTTATTTTTGTCATATTATGGATCTTTTTAGAACATGGGATTTGCCGCCTTCAGAAGAACAGGCTATTCAATATTTTCAAAATGTTGGGGTACTTGCCGACGTGAAATTGTGTGAACGAGGTCATCGAATGAAGTTAACCAGGAAAGCCAAATGGAGATGCTTTCGTATGACTTATGACACAAAACTTTCAATAAGGGAAGGAACATGGTTGGAGGGCTGGAGGATTTCGTTTTCAACAGCTTTAAAATTGATTTATGTGTGGTCCCATAGCTTGACAACGATGAAGTGGGGCAAAGAGCAGCTGAAACTATCCTACGGAGCTATGGTAACGTGGAACAAATGTCTAAGAGAGGTTTGTGCTCATGACATGTAATACAGGCCAAGAGAAAAAATTTGAGGGCCTGGCAAAGTGGTTGAAGCAGACGAAAGTCTTTTTTCTAAACAAAAAAATCATGTAAGGAGAGTTTTACCTCAGCAGTGGATGTTTGATGGAGTTTGCCGAGAAACAGATGAATGTTTTATCTTTTTATAAAACAGATTTTATGTTTTATATTTTTTCTTTTCTATGTAAATATGTTTTTTTTATTATTTCATTTTGATGTTTTATATGTACATATCTTCTTAAAGTGTTTTTTTATTATTTCATTAATATATGTCGTTCAATAAAAGTATTTTTTTTGTTATTACATTTGTTTTTGTATCTGTTTACACTTTCAATAATACGAATTTAATACAATAATTTGAAGATACGAAGTAGGAGAAGGCTTATCACTGCGTTATGGGAGTTATCAGTGTTCAGGTTATAAACATTGGCAGATAGCAGTCAGTAGCGGCCCCCTAGACAAAAAGTACCGAAAATTTTATCTACTTTATGATGGTGTGCTTAGAATTTAATTATCTTAAAGAGTCTTTGAGTATTTTTTCTTATTTAATAAAAAACATGACCATCTAAAGGAAGACATAAAATTAATCTTAACTCCTTTTCTGTTTGGAATCAGCTGATGCAGCATCAAATGTACTGTTTTATGGGACATTTTGTCTAAAATCATCCTCCAGAGTTTGCCAATTAAGAACTGAGGCACCCTGTAAATACGTAATTTAAATATATTTTTGATGTTTTAGAGATATGAATATTCAAAGTTGATAATTTATTTCTTGTTAGTTGTTTAATTTTTTCATAAACATAATTTTAAAGACAGAGGATCAACCTACATTTGGGAAAATACAGTAAATGCAATAATAATTTAAATAATTATTATACATGAAATAAAATTAAAATTAATTCACCTTTGGTTCACCTTCCTTGCACCAGTCCACACCAGTTACTTCTGCATTATGTCCACTCAAAGAAACTAAAGGAACGGACGGATTTGAAACAGACCAGATATAAGCTTTTCCATCATTTGAACCGCTAGCGACATAACGTCCATCTGGACTGACACAGTTCTTGATATAAAAGCTAGATACGCGATGTCCTGAATAAATGGAAACTGAAAAGAAAAAAAATCAAATTAATATTTACTTCATTTAAAACAAAAGTTTAAATGGTTTAAATAAGACTTGATAGATTTTGGTTTTTTACTTTTAAATCTCTCAAATTTATCTTTATTACTATCTATGACAAAATAATTACGAGAAAAAGATTAATTGAAAAAAAAAACTAATTACATAAATAAAATTGTTAATTTGGTTGGTAAAAAAAGTTAATTTATTTTAAATAAATGCTATAGACAAAATATAATATATATGCCTGATTCGATACAATCTGTCAGACAATCTGTGGTTTGCAAAGCAATTTTTATTCAATGAAGATTTTATTTTCCGTTGTCATTCATAGTGAAAACAATACATTAATTATAAATAAAAATTTAACCATTGCATTAAATGGTTTCTATGTGCAAATGTGATAATAAACTCCATTCTCCAGTTTTTTTATTCATATCCGTGAATGGCAAATATCATTGAAAGAATATCTCATTAATTAATCTTTTTTAAATGTTTTGATCCTTTTTTATATCAGTATTACATTTTTTTAAAAGTACATTTACCAAAAAAAATTGCAAGCCACAGACATATTACGAGTCATCTTAGTAGCCTATGAAGCCATACAATCTGGCCATATTAATTCCCGAAATTCAAATCTGACTTTAAAATTGTAAAATTCTTTAAAATACAATGTTTTTCGATAATTACTATCTCTAAACTAAAAAATTATAGAAAAGAGAATATAGGTATTTGAAAATAGTTTTTGATTTTTATGATATAGATATTTCAAAAGTGGAATTGGATAATCTTGAAAGTTTTTGGGAAAAAAAGTTGTTGAAAACGACAAAAATAACTAAAATTAGCAAATTAAAAACATAAATCATTTGTTAACATACTTGGTTTTTCACTATATGTCCCAATATTGTAACAATATAACTTGTTATCAATACAATTCCCATAAAGGCGAAGTCTGCACGGACTTATTGAAAGACTTGAATATCCATTTCTTCCTGATGTGCCACTATAAGGAATGACAAATTTTGCCTGAGGAAGTCTCTTGCTGTAAGAATATGTTTTCCTCATGTCCCAAATTTTAATAAGACTAAAACACATAAAAAACAAACGTTATGAAGAACATTCTTTATCTATGAGTAAGTATATTATCAATTGTATGCATAATAAAGAGAAAAGGTAATTTTAATTTTAAATATCAGCCTCAAATAACAAAATTTCTTATATTCTGCAGAATAACAAAATCCTTAGAATGATATAAGAGTTGTGGTTAAAAAAAAAGTGGAGATATAAAACAAAAAAGTGAAAATTAATCATTGATTACAATAAAATAAACAGTATAGAGAGTAACAGTTGATATACAAAAGGAAATAAAAAAGGAGATATAAAGAATTACCTCCAAATATAACATAAAAAAAATACAGGGCCTTTTTGATAATCTGAATATGTAGATTGCATGGCCTATTTGAATTATCAAAATAATGGGATTATCGAAGGTTACATTTAAAATGATGGAAAAACTGCACAAGATAGTTAAAATATATGCATTATCAGTTAAATATAAACACATTGCAAGCAAAGAAATTATTTCTGAAAATGATGATACAATGTACATTGAATCTTTGGTTTTATTGCTGAAGAAAACGCCTGATCTCACAAAAGCATTTTTAAAAAATAAAATAAACATACCAGGCTCTGTAAGTCAATGTTGTACCCATTCGCCCACTCCAAGTAATAATTAAATGTCAATAAGGCATTTCTATGACTTACATAGAGTGTGAATGTGATCAGTGAACACTATTATAAATGTCCTTGAGACAGATTGTAATATTTTTCAATAAATAAGTTAATATATAATATTTGTAATTAAAAACAAAATTGTTGTAAAAAATTTCCAGAGAAATAAAAATTAATATAAAAAATGTATTCCATGCCTGCTCTCGGAATCATTCAGTCAACCTTTACTGACATTAAAATCTGCTTTGTCATCCTTCTTAAAAGAATCATTAAAGAATAATTTACACTTTTCATTAAATATACTTCCGAAAATTGGAAGCCCTCGAGATTACTACAGAAAAAAACATATAAAGAGATTCTTCAACTTCTGAAAGTCTGCCTAGTTTTAATGTCTTCCGTTTAGAGACACCACAATATCAAAATCAACACAGTATGTACTATGGAACAGAGCCATTTCCATTCTATCTCTCATCAGACAACTTTAACTTGTTTTCCTTTCTTGTTTGGATTACCAGGAGGTTCGGATTATCAAGACTGTTCTGTACTTCAAATTTATATTATTTTGTTTTAAAAAAACATTTCCATTTTTTTTTATACTAATTTAAAAAGCTGGATGACATATTTGTATAGATATGCAATAATTTCAGAAACTACCAATTTGGAAAATTCTTTTTCAATTCGATAGACTCTTTATTGAGGAAGGTTTTGGCGCTTTTAACAATCCAATTAAAGGCAGAGTAACCATAAACTCCAATCAATCTGGAAAACTTTAAGTTATTATGCAAGCTTAGGTTCCCTTTAAATTTATTTTGTAGACACAATAAATAAACACCAAAAAGAAACTTAAAAGCATATTGGATTAGACTTAAGAGAAGACCTTGCTTTTTTACAAAGATAACTATATGTTGCCTTATCTAGATAAGGTTGTCACATATCATCCCATTATATCCATTCTTCTCATTTTTATTATTGTCATATCTTGTTTGTCTTACCTTGGAAGAATATCTACAACTTAGTCCGAAGTTCCAGCAAAAATTAAAAAGTGTATTAGATTACTGTGAGCTTTATTTCTGAATGCACCTCTGCACTAGCAATAAGCTGTCCCGATATCTTCTTTATTATACATTCCTACATCAATCGGGAAATATTCTTTATTAACACGAGGATCCCATTTCTAGTAAAAGTTTAGAAAAATTTCTATTTATTTGTATACACCATTCTTAGACACCACTAGTTACGTCCCTAGTAACTATTTATGCAGTCATATATTAAATACTGAAAAACTAATTGTAGTTTCCATGGCCTACTGCATTTTCCAAAACATTTGAGGTTCCATCACCTGTTACATGAATATATGTTGAAGTAAGCCAGGTACAAACAAGTTAGTCTCAAGGCAATCCCCATCTTTACTTGATATACCGAGTTAAAGAGGCTTTATCCTATTTTCCAATAAAAATAGTTCCTAGGTTAGTTTACCTATATTTTTTAAAGGTTTCCTATATTTTTATAGTTTACCTTTTCCAATTCTTTAGAACCAAAAAGAATCCTGGCCTTCTCAATCTGTTCACCACTTGTTCCTCTGTCCATTCTTTAAAAATAAGATCCAAACCCACAAACTTATATATTCCTTCTCATGGAACTGCTTCCTTCAACAAATCCTTCATCATCCGAACTACCTTCTTTTGGAATTCCTTACCTGTCTCCATCCATAAAACGCCACCTTTAACCTCATTAAAACATAAAAAGTATCGATCGATCTCAACTAATCAATAGTTTTTGGAACTTTTTTTATTTATTATTTTATTGCTATTTCATTGTTACTATTTTCATCTTTCATTGGTCCACACAAGCAAAGAATAGATACGTCTATCTGTTTATAAGTGTTTATCCTATCTTTTATTTTCATTTTGTGAAAAATTCAGGAAGCTTTCAAAAAATACTCATAGGTTTAATGAATCAAATATTGTGTAATTAATGAGTTATTCGTAAGTGAAATTCTGAAACCATCATTACTTTTCTTTCAGCCTCTTTTTGGGGAAGTATGTTATATAAATAAATGAAAAGGTCTTTAAGGAAAAGATGTTAGCCGTTTCATTAAAATTGTCTTAGCCGGTTTGGTCGTTTAGCCTATAGCAACACACATTTTTTTATTCTCATTTTGACATAAAAGGTCTGATGGTAATGAAATATAAATTAAAACAATTCTGTATTTGATTGCAATGCTGTATTAAAATTTCATAGCAATCAGTGAGGAATTTTCGGAGATTAGCTGGTTGAACAAACATTTACATTTCTATTTATATAAACTGTTTCCAAAAATGTTTTATTGATAATGCTAAAGCTTGTCAACAGCTACTAAAGAAAAAAAAATTAATATCATTTAAGAAACAGAGGAGAAAAAGGAAATGAACTATTTTGTCTTAGCCTACTAATATAATGACTGTTCTTAAACTCAAAAACTATATTTTTAAGTTCTCTCTGAATACATGGGTGAATTTTCTGTTGTCATTAAAAAAAGCCAAACAAGCTATAAATTTAGTGGTGTAAATATCATAGGCGATGGGCAAGGTGCATAAAGAGATATATTTCAAAACATTTCAAACAAATGAAAAAGAATTATTTATGATCAATGTGTTTTATTCACAGGTTACAAGAAATAAGTAAAGCCTTTAAAGTTCGAATTTGTTTGCAGCAGGGATATTGTCAATAACATCTCATGACACGAAGGCAAGAAGGTAAAGATGTTCAAAAGATATCCATAAGGAAGCCTCTGCACATCAATGGATGTTTCTCAAAAACTCAATTATACTCACAAGATCATAAAACAAAATTAATTCAAATTTGTTCCACTATAATTAACATTGTGGTTTCATCATAAAGTTATAATAAGTTAAAATAATAAAGTTACTGATAAAGATTTATTGAACAAATATTGATGTAAAGATATTAAATTTATTTAGATTTTAAAATGATAGATTTAGTTTTATTTTCAGGGTAAAGATTTTAAGGACAATATATATCATATATTTGAGAATACAAAAATCAGTGAACCGATTATGAGTTAACTTAAATACAATCTAAAGTTTATCTCTCAAATAATGAGTTCTGGAAAAGGTCGTAACATAATATCTTTGAAGCTAATTAAAAAAAACAACAGTAATTTTTTAAAATAATTTATTTCAAACCATAAAAGCAGTCTTTGAAATAATATCAATTATTAGATTTAATAAATAATATTAATTTGAAATATTTATAAAATCTCATTTCATTATAAACACAAATACTTTCAAAATGAGATATACACATGTATATTTCTTATATAACATTCCAATATAACTGAATATTTAGCAAATTTACATATACAATTTAATGGTTAATGTCCATTACATTCAATCTTAAATTAAATATAATAATTCTTAGAAGAATCCTTCATTTTTCCCATGTCCTCCATTCCATACCCTCAGGAGGTTTGATGGTAACTCTTCCTTTTGATACAGCATCCCAGTTGGTGTTGAGTTCTGTACCACCAGATTCCAAGAAAGACTTGTTCATGGCTTTCTTGACTTCATCAGAACCTTCACTATATATTTTTTGAAACAGAGCATTCAATACTGCTTCTCCTTCCTGTTTGTCATCCTCTAATTGTGAAACAAATTTGTCCCAGTTGCGTTCAGTTTTTTTAGTCAATGGTTTTTCGGTCTTCTCCAATGAAGACCAATGTACACCAATTTTCTTTGGAAGCCTCATTTCTATTTTAGTAGGCATGACTTTGTACTTACACTGATCAGGTACAATATCTTGTAATAGGTAGATTGTTTTTTCATGTTCACTCCCGTCTTTTAAGGCGATGTTGAGATCTATTTCTGCATCTGAAAAGTTAACTTTCAACTTGTCTTGATCAACGTTTTTCGCCAAAACATTTAGAACAACTTGAGTTTCAGTTTGATACCAATCAAGTTTGAGACTGGGCGTATTTGGAGCTTTCGCTTCTGCTTGTTCCGCAGTTAACGTGGAAGAATCAGACGAAGCACTAGACGACATTTTCGATTACAATTTTCAAAAGTAAAAAATTAACGACAAATAACACGGTTGTAAAAACCCCACTTATCGAACAGCAAAAACAAACTACACAAAAACCAAAACAACTAACATCGGAGCAGGTTATCCTACTTGAGCAAACTTCTGAATTGTTCTAAAGCTGTCGTCATGGTTATTAAGCATGTTATTCAATAGTGAATTGAAAATATTAAAAAAAAAAACTTGTTTGGAAATATTTTTTAAAAATTAAATGCATAATTTTTCGCGATTGACATCGAAAATTTTCAACTTCTCAAGTATTTACTAAAGTAATCGGAAGAAAAGGCGCCAATTTCAAAAATACCAGCTGATATAATTTAACATTATTCAAAAATTAAATTACCTCGCGTTTCTTTTATCAATAATTTTATAATTTCAAATAACCAATTATCTGTTTCTATAAAATGAATAATAGATCATTTACTTAATTATTCTACTTTTAAAAAATAAAATTAAGATGGTGAAATATTGGATTACTGAGTAAATCTTAACAGATTATAATAATTAATGAAGTTCTTTACTAATTGAAAATATAGGATGGGCTATAAAAATCTGAAAACACTCTACCTGTATGATATTTTATTAGTTTTATCATCACCACAGAATTAATTTTTTAGTAAATATTTTTGGTTTAATAGTAAAAGTATTCAGTTTTTATTTCATATAAAATATGCAAACTTTGTCTTGTTATAAATCGTTCATGAAAATAGTTAGTCATTTTTTTTTAAACAAACAGTACAAAAACTCTGAGAACACAATAAATTAACACTATTTTCAATTTTTTACATTTATAAACTTGTGGCTTCTCCTTTGTTTATATTTACAACAAATGGGCTATCATAAATCCTATTATCTTTCCTGTAATTTCTACAGAAATTTTTCCCATTCTCCCAAAACTTTTTTTTTTCATCCATTTTTATTATTATTATTACTGTTCCTGTCATTTTCTTGGTTCTTGATTGCATTCATTCCTTAGGTGCTCTTGAGATGTTGATAGGGCTGTAGAAGGGTTAGAGTATGGTAGGAAGAGATTGTGGAAGGTTATCATACTCCAGGAAATGATATCTAAAAGCTATTTCTGAGTTCCTAAAACAGTATAGCATGTTAAGCGTCAAGGCAATGGTGGACAAGCGTGTTAAAGCATTTCCTGCTTTATAATTCTAAAGTATAGCAGTGCAATTTCAAATCTTGCTTGGGTGGTTTGAAATTTATTTCATGATAGTCCCCAGGAATGAATTTCAACCCTTCCACCCTGGTCAGAATAAGTCTTGCTATACATCAGGAATTTCCAATTTATCTTAACACACAGCTGACATCCCAATCCATCATGACACTGTCATCACCATATACACAGATGACACATGTTTGCTATCTATTAAAATGACACAATAATTGCATCCCAAATCCTCTAATCACATATCACAAGCCTTTAAGAAGGGTGTCAAAATTGAAGAATAAAAATAAATTCTATCAAATCACCTTTATCCTCTGTCATAAACCTATGACTTCTTGTCCTACAGTATCCTTTAATAAAATTCCAATTATTCATATTGAACAAATCCTCTACCTAGGACTCCACTTTGACAAACATCTTACTTGGAATATGCATGCTAGACTGAAACGACAAGAAACGGCTCCAACACTTACTAGACAACTGCTCTAAACTTTCAATTAATTACAAAAGGCTCATCTACATGAGTATAATAAGACCTATATGGACATACATGGTGGTTGAGCTTTGGGGTTCCACCGAACTATTGAATTCTAATCATATCCAATATTTACAATACAAAATCCTTTGTAAAATCCTTAATGGCCCATATTTTGTCACAAATAAAATCATTCATAACGACCTTAATGTTCTAGATGTCAAAAACGAATTGATCTTCCAGATTGCTATTACTTCAGCACACATCAAGAAACTGATCTTTTCAGTATGGAGTTGAATACTGGCTTATGAAATCTAAGAACCACACAGCTCTATTCTTAGATTGCCTTACCTGTATCAATACCGGAACAGATCTTCCAGTTCATCATTTATACCTTTCTACTTCCAGAACCTTACTCTTTCATCCAAGATTCTTGTAATAATTTAGAAGGAAGAAGCAGATGTGATATATGAGAATTAGATAGGTGAATGAAAAGCAAATATTATGATGGAGAAGAAAGATATTAGATTTTATTTATGGACTACCGAGAAATTAAATAAAAAAATACTTTCAAGCAAATTTTTAATAGGCATTATTTGTTTAATCAAAACAGCAATACTGGATAACTACTTTTAATAGAAAATTAAGAATCATAAGTAGATAGCAGGGATCATTTAAGGCTATAGTAAATAGCTCCTCTCCCCAAGTTCATAATCTAAGTTTAATCTTTATAGACTATTTTACAAACATTTGATACCTCATCTCACTCATGAATTAATTTATTAGTTCTGGATTTTCAGCCTCTATATCACCTTGCACTATTCCATTGTTAATCTCTTACAACCAATTTACTTAATCCGATATTTATACTATTGTATAATAATTGATAACCAATTATTTTTTACAATGTATGTCAAAAAAAGGATTAAATATCATAATTTACTCGTGTAATATTAAATCCCAATAGTTAAAAAATTATCAACTATTACATGCAATTACGAAGTAATTTATTGAAAGCTTAAGTAAATAAATAATATATTTGATAATACATACCCATTACCAGCTGAGCAAGAAATAAGTGTATTATCATCTTGATACACTAAGCCAGTAATACTATTTGTTTGTGAACCGACCTTCCGATGTTTCAAAAACCTTTGTGCTAGAAAATATATTTAAAAAATAGGTTTTATCAAAAATACAAAAGAATATAATAATAAAATAATAATCACCTTCATGAGCAAAATTGATTGATACATCTGGTTTCACTTCAGTTACTAAGTCTGGTACACGAGTATCCCAAACCAATAGTGCTCCATCACGAGCACCAGTGGCAAATGTATCTGATGGTTAAAAATTCAAAATATTAAATTAGATAACAAGATTTTTCTAATGTCATTTGTAAATGAACTTCATTTAGAGATAAAATAACTCGTAGTATAAATAAAATTGCATAAGAGATAATATATTCAATAACAATAATATAATGCTTAGAACTCCAGAACATCATGATTTTGTTATATTTAAATATTAACTGATATGAAGATATTTATAAAAAAAAAATTAACCAATTATTGCTATATTTACATAATAGGCAACAGAACAAAATCGCAACAAAGCAACATGTATTCTTTTCCTCTTTAAAACGTCTGAATTAGCTCCTGATCACTTCCTTAACATTTCTCTATTTCGACTATTGCTGTACGGTATATGGGGACGTCTCTAGGGATCTCGAGGAGAAACTAAAACGTCTAATAAATTGGCTTTGTATGTTTCATCTTCGGTATCTCAAGAGACGCCTGTCTCCCGTTTTCATGAAGAGCTGAAGTGGCTTTATCCTTCCGACCATCGTAAATACTTTCTAGAATCATTTTTCCTCCAGGCATCCTTCTCCCTCCACATCTTTAAATCCCACCTTTTCAATCACCTCTAATCCGTTCAATCCCCATAAAATTGTAAATAGATGTTCTAAATATGTATATAAATTATTAATTGGTTGTAAATATTTTTATTTCACTTTTTTTTTCTTAATTGTTAAAGTTAGAAGATAACTTACACTTTTTTATTTATTATGTCTATTTTTTTCTTTTTTGTGATTATTCTCTGAGGCTACAAACCCACATTTTTTATCACAGTTGACCGTGATATAATACGTGGAGTTGGTCGGGGAGAGAGGGGGGGGATGCAGTCAAATAAATAAAAATAATATTTTTAATTATTATGCCATGCCATGCCATGATAAAGACCTGCGAGGTGGGTCGAAATGTCAGCATAATAATTAAAAATACTATTTTTTTTTAAATTAGTATTTATTTGACCGCACCCCCCAACCAACTCTTCATATTATTATTATTTGACTAAAGTAAATATTTTTAACTCTTTCCCACAGACTATCTCAAACTTGGTTCTTCCCGTTGCTTCAAAATCAATAATTTTGCATGAGCAAGATGCATGACAGTGCTTCAACCATTGTTAGAATACTCAAAGAACACAAAAAAAAAATTAGCAAAGAGAAAAATACTTAAAATCGTGCTCTCATCTTATGGTTTTCAAGATCCATTGAGACCTTACTCCTAACAACTTATGTTTAGCCAATATTGATTGCTATGTATGACATTAAAGAGTGTATAGCAAATGTGACCAACTAAGTGGATCATGGAGAAGTCTCATATTGCCTTGATACCTTCCATGCTGCAGCAGATTGGATTGTGTTCTTATTTAAGGATAGGAAAAAAGAGCTGATACTTCATTCAAGTACATTTCTTCAAATACATGATTTGGTTGCAATTTAGTTTTAGAGCCTGAAATATATCTTATTAAAAACATTCATTATTTTTTTAAAGACAGGATATTTTAATTCATATATTGAGAATAACTTATGTGTTTGTCCAAATATTAATACATTTTCACAATAAATTACTTTATATTATATTTCGTCTTAAGGTATAATCTGATGTAAACAGTACTATTTTAAGATAATATAGTTCAAACATAAGAACAAAATAATGTATCACAGACCAATATCAAATTCTTAAAAAGTGAACAAAAAATTTAATTTTGGTGTCATATTAAGATTTAATTTCAATATTGAGAAACATAATCTCTAGCTCAACCATAAAATATTTTAGATAATCATGAGCTATACTATATAGTACTTGGTAGATTATGTAGGAAATATATTTTCTGAAGTTTTAATTTTATTTATTTAGTGTTCACTAGATATAAAAGTACAACAAATAATTAAATAAAAACACACACACACACACACACACACACATATATATATATATATATATATATATATATATATATATGTGTGTGTGTGTGTGTATATATTTTTTTTTTTTATACATGACACTGTTCATGTCAACTTATAAAAAAAAAAGAACCTATACCACTACAACCCATGAAGGGTCTTGGGGGTTCAGTACTATTTTGGTAAAGTACTGTTACAAGGTCAACAGTTGTGCAAGGAGAGGATCGGGCCAGGTTCACCCTCCACTGTTCGCAAACGGCCCATGCATCAAATGAACTTTTTAGTTTGAAATTTTGTCTAGAATCACCCGCCAGAGTTTGAAAATCAGGAATTGAGACACCATGTACAGAAGTTAGGACTTTGATTCAATAAATGACTAATTACAGCAGATATAAACAATTATAATGGTTTTACAAAATTATTAAAAAATTAAATCAGAATTTTAACTGAACGAAGAATAATTCAAGTATGGTATTAGGGTAGGTACTCATTATTAAAGATGGCTGACTTGTTGCACTTTTAATATTTGCATTGAGGAGTGCACTAGAAGAGGGGGAAGGCTTTATCTTCTTCAACACACAATCACTTTTTCTACTCGTACGACAGTAGCACAACAGATGAGTGATTATTAACTTCACATTTTAAAACATGTACAATAGATTACTTACAACGATCATCAGGTCGACAAGTTATAATTTTCACACTGTGTTGATGACCATGAAACTGAAGGAGTGATTGAACTGTTCCTTCTGACACCTGCCATAAAGTCGAAGAGTGATCGCCTGAAGCGGTAATAAGTTGGGTATCATAATTGGTCCAAGCAATATCAAAAATAGCATTGTCGTGAGCTTGAAAACCTAAAAGTCGAAAATTGTAAGTCATTATCCATGGAAAGTACATTAAACATGTTTAAAAGAACATAATTTTAAATTAAATTACTACATGGGTGTGATAATCCTAAACTACAAAAACATAAGTTTTTTGCTTACTTGAGAGCACTTTGTCATTTTTAGATGATTTAGTATTGCTAATTGATATTTTTCCATCTTCATTAGCAGCTGCCACTAAATGTTCATATTTCTTAACATGGCAAAATTTGCAGGCAAATACTGGGCAAAATGACTCTCCAACAAAGCCATCAAAAAAATCCACATCATTTACAGTACATTTCAGCTTGTTATAAGCAATGTCAACTTGTTTTGGTACAACTACACAAAAACAGGAAGAATAAATAAAACAAAAGAGGTAAAAACTTCAAATATTTATGCAATTAAAGGAGATATTTACAATAACCAAGTCTTTGTTGTTCAATAATTTGAGTTATATTAACAGGCTTATCCATTATAAGTATAAAGTTGGCATAAAATTAACTAAGTAAACAAAACAACAGTTCACATTGCGAGCCAGTTTTATGGCGGGAGATCAAAACCCAAAGAGGCACAAAAGGTTTCAGCATAAGTTAAAGAAACATTATATACTCCATAATGTTGTTTTAACAATCCCAATATAGAAATAGAAATTTAATTTATTTAACTTACAAAACTTTAAATCTTTAACATATTAAATTATAAAACTAGCCGCCAATGACCCTCTGTGGTAGAGGCGATCAAAAATAAAAAATAAATTATAAAAACTACTAAACTTGTAAGTGTAACATTTTTTGTTACATTCACAACTGAATTGATTGAAATCTCTTAAGGAGGGGCCGGGTTCAGCTAAATAAAAAAGTCTTTATATTCCTTAATAATTAATCACTAGTGATTTACCATGTTTCAAAATATCTTATATATATATAAAAAATAAGCAAAAATCTGCATTTAAACTATCCTTTTGGTTATGTTTTAATCTAAGAAAATATATATTCCAACATCTGTCACATAAATAAATTTAATATGTAATTTATAAACTTGAAACATTCAACAGGAAAGTTTTTATGTAATCAAGAAAGCAAAAGAGGCATAAAACCGTTATTTTTAAAATGAAACTGAAACTGAAAAAACTGATTAATTTCCCATACGTGGGTGAGAAGAAATATTGATTTCATAGTTATTACTGTTATAATTGCTACTGTAGAATAAAATAATATATGTGTAAATAATCCTAAACTTGTTTTTTGTACCTAACTGTTATTCTTAAAGTACAATGTCTCAGAACAAGCTATTTTTTTTTTAAATTCTATTCTGAATATTCGAGCGAAATTTGGTTGTTAACCTGATCATTCAGCCATAATAGGAAGACGTAGTTTTACTTCTGTTGGAATTAACCCAACATAATGATCCTTTTACCCCAAAACCCATAAGTGTTTCAAGGGCGAGAACTTGGATTTTTTATATTCACTGCATACCTAACAATATAAAAAAGAAATTTGAATAACCTGACCTTTTTCGATCTATACCACTTTTTTATAGTAATTTGATTGGGCTGTTATCATAGCATTGTGCACCCTTAATTTCAGATTTATAGTTTTTTTCGGGATTTTAATAACAAATTTTTTACTTCTGACACTAGTGGATCCATGATTTAATTTTGGATGTGGTAATTTTTTAAAACTTATTATTATGGAAGAAAAATATAGAAACTGTATAAAATGATTTCTAAGTGGTCCTTGAAAATTTGCTTTAAAAAAAATTACTGTCAGAATGTGTGTTTATGTAATCGGGCTAGTTCAAAAACCAATAGTCGTACTCAACTGAAATTGCGTATCCAAGGTTTGTACATGCCTGAGATATTTCAGCAATTTTTCCTCAAAATGGACTAACCTGAAATGCCACCTCACATCATTGATTTGAAATGAAATGAAAAAATAATTTTATTCTGGGACTACTGTCCCCTAAGAATAATAACAGAGTTACAAATTTATGTATCTTAGTCTGACATAGTAAAAATACCAACTAATTTATTATTAATTGTTATTTCAATTGTGCAATGGATTGAAATTAAACATTGTATAGATGCAAGTAATTTTACATGTTAGGGGAAGTTTGAATGTGGAGTAGGTGTTGGAACAGGAGTTGTTTGAAGGAATTTGTGGATGAGGATTGACGCATGGAGGTAGGAAGTGAGTTCCATAAGGAAGCAGCACGAATGACGAAGGATTTGCTGAAGGAGGAAGTTTTATGGGAGGGAATATATAAGTCTATAGGTTGAGACCTAGTATTGAGAGAGTGGATAGAGGAGCGCAGAGTAAGGAGTTCCAGGATGTAGGGAGGGTTTCTGGTTCTGAAGACTTGGAAAAGGAAAACGCCAAGAAGGAATTGTCGTCGGGAAGTAGGAAAAAACCACTTCAACTTGGTGTACCAGAATGAAACATGTATTTAACACCTTTTTACAATTTTCTCGAAAACATAAGAGCCGTTTTTGATTACATTCATTTTGTTAGAGTAAAATTAAGCTGTTTTTATTATAATGTAGATTTGAAATTTTTTCCTCTAAAATATCTTCTTTTTTTTTGTGATAATTAACCATTCCACACTGAGACCTGATATAAAAATAGTTAAATATAATGAATGAAGAAAATAGATTAACGGAGAAATAAGGATTGGAAGCTATACGGAAACAGCCAAGAGCACTTTGCCGATCCTTCACTTAGAACTGAAAATCCTAGCTGAACACACCTTCCTGAAGAAGACCTGCAAAGTCATGTCGAAATGTTGGCTTTTAATAAAATAGTTTTGCCACTATTTAACCTATTTATGACCGCCACCCCAGACCATCTCCTTCCTTTATAATGCAAGGGTCAACTATTAAATATTCAATATTTATTAACGTTAAGTTATTTTTTCGACGAGTTTCGTGATAAATGTTTTCGATAAAACTTAAAACTTTTCCAAAAGATACATTTTTGCCTGCAATCCCTAGTAATATCTGATACTATACACAGTCGTAAATGGGAATGGAAAGTGGTGCATACGTTTAAATTTGACATGTACAATGAGTGGGAAAACCATGGTAATTAATTGTTTTAAATGAAGTTATACCGTCATTTTCACATTGACTTCCCTTGAAATGACAGTACTTATCTATTCTAATGTTGGTAAGTGAAAGTTGTGTGATGCGTACCAGGTTTTTTGTTTTGCAGTCAATTTTATCTACTCTTATGAATTATTTTCCTTCATGTTTAATTGCTGAACTTCTCTGAATTCTTATTAATAACATAAACTTATTTTGTTTCTTACCATTATGAAAACAATAAACGAATATAATTGGCTTTATAAATATGTTTTTAATTAAATATATTTATTACTTAGGCATGGGAGGAAGACGAAAGATATTCCTGTTGCTAGCAGCTCTGTGCACCTGTGAGGGATTGCTGGGAATATCGCTGATAGTGTTAGCAGCCAAACCACTCAGTACTGTCACTGAGCACCTGAAGGGACTAGACCTATTGTTACCAACAATACTAAAAGCACAGATCTGTTATGGTATATTTGTCACATTTATGTCTGTGATCGGCATCAGTGTAACTCGTCATTGCATTTACAGTTACAATCTGTACGCATATGTTTATTATGTACTCGTAGAAAATTATGATCTTAGCCCGCTATTGGTATCATAGAATTAATATCTTAAACTAAACTTAAAAGTTTAAATGCAAAAAATATTTGCTGATATTAACCACAACAGTAAATCGTTAACTACTAATTATAAATAGTTGCACTATTAAGAAAATGGTCCCTGTGCTTTATGTAATGCAGACCCAATTTACATATTAGGGAATCAACTCTACATCACAAGAAGACTATTTTGTAAGATCCTGATTGATCTTAAAAATGTTGAATACTTTTACTGTGTTTAAGGGCTTCACTTAACGTAAAGGAAATAAAAAACTTTTACCATCGCCTTTTAGTGGCCATCAGCGTATGAGTGAGTTAATGGGCTACTTCCTTTTTGTCAGAGATTTCTTCCCATCCTCAACAAACGTCCGACATACTCCAAGAATGATATCCTTCAGCCTTCTCAGGATCTTCTACCTCCTAGAACAAATTTCATAGTCTTCAATCCTGACGACATGACCAAAACATTTCAGTTGGTGATATTTAAAGAACTCATTTATGGCTGGAAGGAGGCAGTAGGTCGTGTCCATTTTACTCTTGTATCCCTAAGGAGGAGAATGATACCACCATACCAGAATACCACCGGCACCAGGAATATCGAAAAATAATTGAGCCAGCAATGGAAACAATATTGTAGAACAAAAATACCTTTTACCACCAGTGAAACACTTTGCCAAGTTTTATATTGCCAGAAAGGCAAGGAAGAAAAGTCGGATAAATTCTTGAACTTTGAGTTTCCTCCCTTATCGTCTCACGTCGTTCTCGTTTCTCCTCCTCGTCCTCCAAATCTCCTGAAGGTACTTCATTTCGGCCATTTGGACATACATTTCATAAAATGGACGTACAATCCAAACCAAAGATAGTTGGTAGGTTTTAGAACTTAGCTAAATGATGAAAAATTTAAATTATACACAAACGTTGTTGTCATGTCCATTCCGCTGCTTTCACTTTTTATATCTGCCATGTTTTGCCTACAATGATATTTTTCTGCTGACCTGCGCCATGTCTTTCAGAGGTCTTTTTCTCCTTCCTCCTTGGGGATTACATTATAGAGCATCTTTTTCTATGGCACCACAAAGTATTTTCCAAATAAATATCGGTAAAGAATGCAAGTTAGAGTCCGTCGAAGATAAGTTTGCCGGCGAGTAGAGGAGGAGGAAGTTACGCAATAGCAAAACGTTTTTCTATTGATGCCCTACTCTTTTGTCTTCTCTTTACTCATTCGTACATATTTCTACATGTTTTTATTTTTACAAGTAGAAATTTCTGATACCATTTTTTCTTTTCTTTTTCACGAAATTAGAATTTAGAAGAAAATCGAACATCGACAAACTCATTCCCTGTGTTAGGTGTATGTTATGGCGAGGAGGGGAGGTGAAGTTTGACAGAGAAAAGCCTTCGCGAGCTCCCTTCCCCTGCAGGCAAACCAATCTTAGACACACTATATTCATGAAGAGGCCAATTATTTACTTATTTATTTTGTTTGTCACCCTTTAAAAATAATTATGGATTTTGTTTTTTTAGATATTTTCAACCTCTATATTAAGCAATATGAAATAATATTTCATATTCAAATTAAAATATTGTTTTGTAATTTTAGATTCGCAATAAAGCGAGCTCAAATAGTTTGGTCATGCATAGCCACGGCATTAATTATTTTAACGATCGTAGCGTCTATTTTCCTCTACAGAGGTATGTTATTATTAATCAAATGACATCATTTATCTTCATGTCTTCAATGTAATTTTGAACATAAAAATATTTTAATTGAACAGTAAGGTCTCTGGGGGCCATGGAAATAGTCAAAACCTTTGAAAGAGGACTGTCACAATACCTCCTCGATAGAGACTGGAAAGTAAGGTTTGACAAAATGCACCAGAACCTGAGGTGCTGCGGTGTGTCAGACCATGAAGACTGGTTTAAAACAAGATGGATTCCAATCAGTGCTTTGAAATCCGCAGTTTTTAATACAGAGTAATAATAATATAAGTCTTTATTTATATTTAAATATAGATTATGTCTTTGTTCATATCTCCTTTTGTATGACGTATCTCATACTGGTAGTAGTACTGGTGGGGGAATTAGTCCCGCAAGTTGGCCTCATGGCCTCATTTTTTTTACGCAACCCTTGTTACGTTTACTAACCAGAGTAGGAATGTCAAAATTTATTTTCTGGGAAAGCGCAGAAATTAAAAGTAACCGAACCAGGAGGGAATCGAACCCAAAACGTTTCTTCTCAGCAGTGGTTGAAAGAAATATTACAAGACGATTTAATCACTTATACTTTTGGACACATCCTCGGGATTCCATTTATAATGTAGAGAAGAATAGTTGGGGTGGTCAGTCATAAAGGAAGGCAAAAATAAATGATAATATTTATTTTTTACATATGCCGACGTTTCGACCTGAAGTTCAGGCCTTCATCAGGGCTAAGAAAATAACCAGATAACAAGGTATGAGAAACATAAGTAATGATGGTAAAAAAGATAATAAAAAAAATAAATAAAAAATAAAATAAAAATAAAATTTCTAAAATAAAGTGATTATTTTCTTAGCCCTGATGAAGGCCTGAACTTCATGTCGAAACGTCGGCATATGTAAAAAATAAATATTATCATTTATTTTTGCCTTCCTTTTTGACTGACCACCCCAACTATTCTTCTCTTAATTATCCACGACAGTCAACCAATTACCAATTATCCATTTATAATGTAATTATGGAGCGACACTTGAACCATCGTACCCCCAATTCTTGCATTAGAAGAGGAATTTGTTTTAGATCATACTGATATTTTTCATAAAAAATTATTGACGGATTCGATTCAATTCGTCAAAATGAAATTTAAAAGTATAAAACATTGATTTATTCCATGGATTATCCTTTTGAAAATAAACACCTCTTCATTTTGACCTTACTTTAAGATTTACAAATTTCTAAATTATGAATAACATTATTTTTCTCCAGGTACATGACAGTGGACGCCCGAATAAAAAAACCAGTCCTTCCTGCCAGTTGTTGCTCGCCGTACGTTGATATTCCCTGTATTCACGACTTCTTACAACAAGATAGTCTGAAGCCTCAAAAAGATATCAGTTTGTTCCTTGAGGGAGTCTATACTTCAGGATGCATAGGGATTCTCTTAAAACCTATGCTTACCTCTATTACTTCCTTCAGTGTTATTGCCATCCTCATCTGCATTTTTCAGGTAATCCTTAGAAAAATATAAGAGATATAACCAACTTTCATATATCTACCAAAGAGAAATAGATTATTATTAATAATATTTGCTTCTGCCTAGTGGTGGTGTCTTCAATAGCAATCAGTTTATTTTAAACTGTTTCTTTCATTAACCATATACGGTTACAATGGAAGACATGAATGTTTAAATATGAGTAGGTGGAGACAGCGATACGACACTGACAGTATACTGAGGGTAACTACTCAAAAAAGAGTGCTGCCATGAAGAAATACTTCGACATGTTCTATTCACTGTTCGAAGTCAAATATGTCCTCCCTGACTATTGAATATTGCAACTCTTCATAAGACATGAATGATTTGGCGCCAAGATCAAGGATATGGACACTAAGTGCTCCTGAAACAATTTTTCTTGGGCACCCGTCAAATGTTAAATTCACCAGTAAAACCCAACCTTTTACTTCAATGATGTATGCCTTAAATTAGAACAATAATCCCATATGCCCTAGTTGTGGCTTTCCATAGACTGCTGACCACGTCACCACGACTTGGATAACGTTTCAGGACATAAAGGCTAATAGTCCAGTCAATGAATGATTGTAGAAGAAAATGGTGGGAACAAAATTTTAGACTTTGGAACATTTTTTGGACCAGTAAGGAGGTAAACATACTAAAAGTCTCCACTCCTAGGTGGTGAGCCGGATGTGCCTAGAAGGTCACATTTTTCGGGTTTTCGCTTATATCTTGGAAACTATCCTTCGCATCGACAGACACGTTCTATACAAAATTAAATCTGATAATAAATTTTATAAGATCAATAATATACATTTTTTCGTTACCTCGCTTAGTTCTCGAGATATCCGTCCTCAACTATGGCTAAGTTTGAAAAAAAAAATGTTGCCTCATGTTTATTGCTGTATTTCGGATCTTCGCTTAAATCTTTACGTCTAAATATCTAGATGAAATGAAATGAATTAAAAATAGATTTTTATTATCCTGGGACTTTTGTCCCTTTAGGACAAATTATAGATACAGAGGAAATGCCTGTGTGGCCATAACATTAAATTAAATATTTACAATGCTCATTAAAATAAAAATATTGGATGAAAAATAAAACAAAACCACTAAATACATACAGATATATACAATACAAACATGTGAAAATAAAATAATATAATTGAACAAAACTATTTCTGGGGAAACTTTCAAAGTTCTCTTATCTACTTTTCATGATCAATCGGGTTGGGAAAGTAGTAGGTGCTTAAAAAGTAGGGATTTAAATGAGGAAACTGATTGCGCATGTCGGATATCGGGAGGGATGGTATTCTAGGTGAAGACGGCTTGGATTATAAAGGATTTGTCAAACGCACCAGTTCGGTGAGGAGGTGGATAAAGGTCAGAAGTACGGGATCTAGTGGGATGGGATTGAAAAATATAGGAAGGTCGCTGAGTTCTGATGGCTTGGTATAGAAAGGTAGCAAGGAAGTATAGGCGGCGGTTGAACGGATAGAACCACTTCAACTAGATGTAATACTGGGTTATATGCGTATCTCTTGAGATTCCGAAAACAAAATGTATTGAGCAGTTCATCAGGCGATTAAGCCTGGCCTCGAATTCTCCCGAGAGTCCGCCGTACACCAGACAGCCATAGTTGAGGTGGGGGGAACACAAGGGAAGAAAACAGGAGTTGTAGGGATTCATATTGAAGGAGATAGCGGAGATGGTTAAACTGTTTCAGAGTGGAGATAGTACGACGGGAAATTTGGGAGATGTGTGGTTTCCAGGAGAGAGTCTGATCAAAGGTAACACCAAGGTTTTTTACGGAAGTATGGAATGAGATAAGTGATGTAATGAGATAGATGTATAGAGAGTTTCTGCAAATTCTTAGAATTGACATATCTAGTTATAATTGATCCAAATTTTGATAAACTAGTAAAATAGTATATATTCTTGAGGAGAATTTAGTTATTTAAAACTTTCTTCCCCATGACTGAACCACACAACGAAGCAATCAAGAGTTAGCTAATACAGTAAAAAAACGAGGTAAATTTTTTTTTTTCTAAATTATCCATAGTTGAGGAGGAATATCTCATAAACTAAGTGAGGTAGCGAAAAAAGGTATATTATTGATCTTTTAAAAAAATTTATTAGTTTTAATTTTATATAGAACGTCTCTGTCGGTGCGATGAATAGTTTTCATAAATATAAGCGATAATCCGAAAAAGTGCCCTTCTCCCACATCTGACTCACCATCTAGCAGTGGGGACTTCTAGTATGTTCACCTCCTTACTAGTCCAAAGAATGTCCCAAAGTCAAAAATTGTGTCTCCGCCATTTCCTTCTATAAATCCTTTTCGAGCATTCATTGACTGGACTATAAACTGTTGAGGTAACCGAATTATGCTTCCTTATAGAGAACGATTTCTTTCACTTAGTAAGAACAACGTCCTTTATGACAAAGCTTTCATAGACAGGTGGATAAATTGGAGGCAAACCATTTTAATTTCCTTCAATGAAAAGAAAAAAAGATTAGGAAGCACGGAGAATTAAAAGGTAAATAACTGACGGCAGAACTGGCATAAATTAAAAAAAAAAACGCAAGAACCTAAAAATGACTATACTTTATAAAACATACTTATATTCAGGGTTAATGCTTAGTTTTGGAAAGGCGTACCATACTTATTTAGTCTTTTTTAGCCTGTTGAAGTATTTTATTGCTGGTCTGCATTAATGTGAACGTTTTCGATCCTGAATTGGTGAAATATTAATAAGTCATTTATTTACTGTCATTTGACGAATTCAAGGTTTTGTTTTGGAATATTTCAACCATAACCTAAATAATTGTAATAATAATATCACAATAAATTTATCATTTTTTTTTTTTAAATGTTCTCTGTTTCAGACTTGTGAGCTAGTTATTGCTAATGTATTATACTACCTTTGTACCCGAAAACAAGAAGATTTTTGAATAGTATTATATTTTTAAATAATTATTTGAGAAGTTTGTTTCGCTTCTTTTTTTGAGTCTGATTAATGATTTAGTTTTTTAAAGTTTGAATTCAATACGATACTGATGCTAACAATAGATTGCTGTTATGACAATTAACACTTTTCTTGAAATCTCGAGAGGTAAATATTGTTCTTATATGCTCCATATAAACTAATTATTATTATGGCCAAACACGTAAGCACATAGATGGCACCGTTTAGAAGCCGATCCGTTGCCACCAATGATTTTAGCACTGAGTTAAGGAACTTGCCTTATTTAAATTAATTATTTTAAAAAATACTATCGGTACCAAATAGAATAAATAAGGCATATAATTTGTAGATGAAAATGAACAATATATTTTAATGAACTGTATTTGATGTAGCATTGAAGTACTTGAAGTTAACGCTCTGATCACATCCATTTTCCAAAGCTATTAGAAGAGATATATATTTTTTTTGTCATGGATAATTTCCTTATTTTTATGATATTAAATATTTAAATCATTGAAATTCATTCCGATTTATTATTTTCAATAAATAATATTTGTATTCGATCAAGAAAAAAAAATCTCTCCCTCCTCAAAATTTAAAGTTTTAAATTTCATGATACATAGAATCCGAACTATAAAAAAATCGCCCGTCAACTTCTGCAACATTTCTGCGAAATTGCGGGATCAATTTGTTTACACATATTTGAGACATGGCAATTTAGAAATTTAGTTTATATATCAACCACAATAATTTGCAGTTATTTTTAAGTAAAAAATTTGCAGTATTATTTTTTTATAATAGGCGCCCTCATTATTTTTTTATTCTGTTATCATGAAAAGTACGGAGTTGGCAAAATATGAGAGAAGAACACAAAAATGATTAAAATAGAAAAAAAAACTGTTTCAAAGAAAATTAACAAAACTTATATTTAAAATTGTTTTTGGAATGATATTTCCACAACATTTTTTGAAGAAGTACTAGTTATTTTTAAAAAAATTGATTTATATATTTTTTAAAAATAAAATACACCATTGATTTCAAATGTTACTATAAAAAAGTATTAAAAAAATAATAAATCAGAAAATTAAGATATTCAGAGGTGTCAAGAGCCCTCGATTTTATCGATCATGAATGCCCTATTACTATAGTCAATATTTAAAAGATGAGGTATCGATTTATACGGCAGTAGCCTTCAAAGCTCTTGTCAACTTGGATCACAATTACATTTAAAGGTAAAAGGTGTCTCTTTCTACGAAAATATATTTTGTTTGTGATTAAAACGCACTCCATTAAAATAAAAAAGATATAATTGTCTTACGTTATTAATCTGCTTCTACTATTCATTTTTTTATTTTTTAAAATGAAAATAAATGAGATAAATATGTTTATAGAGACAGATTTGTATTCTATCACGAAACCCTATATATAATGACCTATTACATAAGTATATTCTATATACCTTTTTTATATAAAAAATGATAAAATTTGTTGAATACGAAGTTAGTAACTCTACTATTTTTTATTAAGATTTTAACTAAAGTTATGTTTAAATTATGCATTAAAGACTGTATCGAAATATTAAAAACAATGATGACTTAATTAAAAAATATTTGGGTATATTTTTATACTGAATATGAAATGATATAATGTTCTACTTCTATCTTCTAATTTATTTCTTGTTACTGTTTAAATAATTTTCCCCTGCAAATATTGAACATATTTTATTGTTTATTAAATAAATTTCAGTATAATATTGTGAGTAAGTAAATTTAATGTAGTACGAGATTGAGGAATTTATTTTCTATACCACGGTTGATTTCACTGGTTCATAATAATAAAATAGAATATGCGTAAAAATTACATTATTTGTTCTGTTATATTTTTATCTTTGGTGATATTTTTAAACTATTTTTTCTTGACAGCTTCTTACATTTAATAAATTTACATGCGTTATATTTTAAAAATAATACACATGTTGTAATTGTTTAATAGTCCGTGGTAAAGACCCCTTTTTAACTAATTTTTAACAAACCTCGTAAATAGCTTCATCTCATCGTAACCTACAAATGTTATATTTACGAAAACTCTTGGAATTGGGGCGTCAAACTTTGTCTATTTAATTAGGTACTAAAAATGCGTAAATACTCATTTGCTTTCCACTTGGATGATAAGATAATTTAATTACAAAATCGATTAAAAGGTGGCATGCAAAACTATTGGGCCATTTGAGCTATATTACGTCGTTATTTTGACCATTTGGGGGTATAAGTCAGGCCAAACGGTTCAGTATTTTTTCTCGACTTCGTGTTCAAGTTATCTTACGATTCAGGTGGAAAGCAAATGGATGTTTACGAATTTTTAATACTTAATTAAATAGACAAAGTTTACCGATCTCTAGATTGAAAACGCTCCAATCCCGAGAATTTTTGTAAATAAAATATTTGTAGGCTACGAGAAGATGAAGCTATTTATGAATTTTCAGCCGGATGTTAATAATTTGATAAAAAGGGGTCTGTACCACGGAGTATAGGTATTCAGATCACTAGCTGTAGCAAATATGGTCTTATGAAAAAACAAAAATCAATTTTGGAGGAGGTACTTAGTTCCAAAGACCTCTCCTCCTACTCCAGGCAGTAGGTATAATTATAAACACAGTGTACTTGTAGTAATAATATTTCAGTAATTATTAATAAATAAATCTATTATGCCCGTATATGGGTCATTTCTCAGAAAGTATGAAACACTGTCTGAAGGGTGTTGACATATCCCATCGATATTCAAAAGAAATATCTCAATAAACTATTGGACTTTATTTACATTTCATTATTTTGAAAAAATAGGACTTTTTTTTTTACAAATACTAAGGCCAAAAAAACAACAACATTATTTCGGTAATTTAATTACTTTTACACAAATGTAAATAATTATTATAGACATTTACTTTTTTCAACTATTAATTAATTTATTTGTTAATCTATTTTCATTAATTAATAAAGTGGTATTAATTCTGTGCTCCGGAAGTAAAGGATACTATTATGTTCATTTTTTTTTATTACATAATTTAATAACAAATTAATTTAGTCCCTTTACAATAATACAGAAAGACAGAAAAGTGGGCTAAGGAACCATAATAAAAAAAATAAAAATTATATATATATATATATATATAAGTTACTTTCTAACTTTAATCAGTTAATGATAATAAGAAAACTGAAGTAAAACATAATGAAGAACGACATAATAATTTATATTCATATTTATAGTACTATCTATTTACAATTTTATGGAGACTGGGTAGATAAGAAATGATTGACCAAGCAGGATTTAATGGTAGGAAGGATATTGGATTGACGGATGTGGGAAAGGGTGGAGTTCCATTGGGATGAGAACCGGATATGGAACGATCTGTCGAAAGCAGCGGTTCGATGGGCCTTTGAGTATAATCAGAGGGCCGGGAACGAGTATTGCGGGAACGAACAGAGGATTTGAATTGAAGAAGCTCGGAGATATATGAAGGAGGGATAAAACCACTTCAACTCTGCATAAAAACGGGAAATAGAAGAGTTTCTTGGAATTCCGAAGATGAATCGTACGAACCAATTTATCAAACGTTTATTTTCGTCTCGAGATCCCCATAGGCGCCCCCCCCCCCATATACCATACAGCAACAATTAAAGTAGGGGAAAATTAAGGAAGTGACTAGGAGTCTACGGGTTTCAAGGGAAAATAGGTGTCGGAAGTAATTTAGACGTTTTAGGGTGGAAATAGTATTGCGGAAGATATTGGAAACATGGTTTTTCCAGGAAAGAGTTTATCAATTAATCAAAGTTTATTCGAAGGTTTTTGATAGAGGAATAAAATTTGGAGGGATTATCAAGTAGGAACAGAGTTGGAATAGTAGGAACAGTTTTGAATAAGATGATTTGAGCCTATTAAGATTCCCTTCGTCTTTTCCGCATTCAACTTCAACTTATACTGCAGATGTAGGGTAGTAATCTGAACAAACGACACACAGTCTTTCCAAAATAAAAACAAATTAAAGTAAAAACTACGTATCCAAATTATAACCAATAATATTGTTCCTTTGACCTTTTCTACAAAGAATCTACCTTCGTTCAGGAAAGTTAAATTATTTATCGAAAAATATAAGAATCGATTAAATTGCAGAAGAATAGCTTACATATGTCACCGATAGTAATCAGGTGAAGTAGTCGCCTGTCGATGTCTAAACCTTTCATTAGCTCATATCAATTATCTTAAATATCCATTGTTATCCCATGTTACTTTATCATGACATTGTTATATTTAAAGTAGCGTGTTATAATTATTTTAGTGGAAGCTATTCACGATAATTATGAAATCGTAAGTATTTTATTCTTCCCTTCCCCTTTCGATTAACACTGTAGTCCTATATCTTATTTTACATTATTAAAAATATTGAATTATCTTGGTTACATATTGAAGTCTTAGTATTTCACAATTCTAATTACATTTAAAATGCTGTATTTTAATATAAATGTTGTAATATAAAATATGCATTAGAAATATTCATTATATATTAGCCACGACTGACATGCCCTTCAGGAAGAGACTAAAAAGGAGCTGGATGTGAGATCTCCTTACCTAAATCAAGGAAGTAAATAATGAAAAGGAAGAGATGCTGTTGGGTGCTATCCTTTCACATGCCTATAATGTAGATCCTTATTTATAACAACACATCTGATTATTGTCAATACCATGATTGGTACGGATACATATTTGAAGAGAAAGAAAAAGTGATTAATAATTATTATATTTGCTTAAAAGCAAAACAAATCAGCCTACAAGTAAATGGAAATAAAAACATATATGTTAATAAGCCGAAAATTCCATCCCGACAGCTGAATCTGCGAAGAAAGGAAATCTTTCGTGAGAGCAGACAAATTCAAATACCTCGCTTCCACAATAATCGCAATGAATGAGCAACGTTCAGATATAGACATAGTGTAATATAGATATAGATATAGTACAATAAGCGTAATCTTTCTTCTGTCTTTCAAAAGTACTGAAATCCCGAAAAATTGCTAA